AGCATATTTCCAAGGATGTTCAATGCAAATTTGCTCTTTTTTGAAAGGAAAACAAAAAGGACACTGCATCTCCACAGAAGTGATACTTAAGCTTTCCTTGACTCAGGGTTTTTTTCCTGTTCAAAGTTTTTGTCTTCTTTCTGTAGGAAATTTATTTGAAATAATGTACTCTCTTAGAAGCCAGGAGCTGAGAGTGTGTGTGAAGTTGAGGTGTGGATACCTTGGACATGAATAACAGTGAATAAAATGTTAAGGGCTGCATGTAGGCTGGGAAGGCTTCAGGGTGGCTTAGCTGGGAATACCACAGGCCAGCTTTCAGGTGTGACTGGCAGATCTGCACGGGAGCTGGTTGTTCTAGGACAGATTTATGGCATGTTGGCAAGCTGGTCTGTTATATCAGAGCGCAGCTGCTGCTTGACAACTCTTCTGTCCATAGGAATGGGGAAGCACTTTCACTTGCCATGTTGCATTGCCAACATACAGGAAATTTCTGTAAAGCATGGTGGGGGGACGTTATTTCTAAAGCAGACTATGCATCCTCTGAGTGATACTGAAGGGACCACACCAAAGTTTGGTCAGTGTCTAACAACAACTACTGTTTCCTCTCCCCTATTCCCGTGCCTTGTGTCTAGTGAGCCTGATGCTTAGACAGTTCTTAGTTGTGGCCTTACTGGTAACAGCTCCTTCCTTCCTACTTGTACTAACCTCAGAAGCAGGGACTATCTTAGTATTTGAGGCCACCTCACATCCAACAAAAGGTTTGGAGATGATAGCTTGTGTGTTTTACATTGTTGCTGTAAGAAGGGCTCAAAGTAGCAGTGGAGAGAGGCCCTGGTAATGAAATTCTGCGTTTTTGAGCTCCTAGCTCTGCAGGCACTGATGGAGGAAAGAGAGGTGAATTTCTTTCTCCTCCAGCATCTGTCAAAACCTGAGCATCATCCCAGCCCTGCTGAGATTCAGCACATGTCCCCATGAATAACTGCACATGTCTCTATCCGCTTGCCTGGAGAGGTACTAATGAGGCCCCATCTGTCTGCTTTGCAAACTCCAGCTGTGTCTGCTAAGCAGCAAAAAAAGGTCAGGGTGGATGTGCAG